ACCCACGAAACAAAGCTAGATCATCTGCATACAGAACAGAAATGTCAGCACTAAGAGCTGTTTCAAACCAGAGACATAAAATTAAATCTCATTAATTATTTTATGTTCTCAGGCAACAAAGAAACCTTAACGATACCAGCAAATGCGTTCTGGTGAGTCGGGTTAGTTAAAATGTTAATTTATAAACAATGTTACAAAATGTCATTTTAATTAACTGAAACAATGTAAAGAATGATTCATTGCAAATGTGCACAACGTATCATGCCAGACGATGGACAAGAGGCACTGAAGTTGCTGGAGATTTTAACTCAAGGGCTTTGAGGCTGATCAAAACGTAACCTTTTTCGAGCTGAGACGAAATATGGTTAACAGCTCAGAGAATTGTCCTGTACTCGCAAAGGTGACATTCTAAGCCAATTGCTAGTAAATATCGACTTGCTGGACCATGTTTAAACGAAACAAACAATTAAAATATTAACAAAACTGTTATTTTGTTCGTACAATTTATACATTTAAGTCGTAAGGGCAATCACTCATCGCCCTGATGATGGAGGCAGCAACGGCCTCTGAAACGTCGGTGAGCTTTCGCCAGACCACACGGCGCAACAACCCAAAAGACACAGTCATCTTCGGACTCACCTCCGTGAAAACCTCAAGTCCTACAAGATTTTATTGAATGTAACAACGTGTTCTAAGCAGTTTAGAGCAGTGGTATACAACCTTTTTTGTTCGCGTACCCCCAGATATAATTTCTCTTCACGTTTGTACCCCCAAAGTTGTTGGTGTATAATTCAAGTTATACATAGTATATAATCTACATCTAAAATAAATTATAAATAAATTTATTACTGATTATTCAGTGTTTATCATAAAACTTTTTTTTAAATTTCACGTACCCCCTAAGATGTCTTCGCGTACCCCCGGGGGTAGTTTCAGAATAATACGTGATGAGACAGTTACTGTTCTACAAGGAGAGAAAAGCAAAGATTCTGTAAATCCTAAAATTCAATACGCAAGTAGTGCTTTTAACTACTTCGTATAAATATTCGAAAGTGATCAGCGAAATGTCCTCTGGCTAAACCAAACCATAGGCTTGCTTATAATAGTCTCATGACAGGCAAGTCTTGCAGATAAAAGGAAAGAGAAAGTTAGTTCGTACGAAATACCCCCCACGGCTCATTTACATGTTCTGGAGCAATGACCAGAGCGTATTATTCTATCCAAAACAATCGTCCAAGAGCCAAATTCAATTCTACAAGTCGCCAATGGTAACTGTTGTCCCACCTGTTTTAAAAATCAATAACTCTGCATTTTGTAATTAAATATTTCTTACGATTCTCACATTCAGTGCAAACAGCAGTTTTCTGTCTTCTGGGTTGTTGCGCTGTGTAGACTGGTCGATGTTTACCAACGTTTCAGAGGTCATACTGCCTCCGTCATCAGGGCGATGAATGTACCAATTGGGTGGGTGGGGCCCCATTCATCGCCCTGATGACGGAGGCAGTATGACCTCTGAAACGTTGGTAAACATCGACCAGTCTACACAGCGCAACAACCCAGAAGACAGAAATCTTCAGCAGTTATTTCCTTAGAAAGTATTAACAAGTATATATTTGTAATCGAGAAATTTTTTATTTGAGGCATAGACTGAATTCTTAAACGAGCGTCGTCTTCAGGAGGTTAAACTTTATTGAAACTGGGTCATTTTGGGATGTAGTTTGTGTATGATTTGAGAAATGAGTCGAGCGCACAAAACATCGAAGACAGTCGCGAGTTTCTGATGGCCATTGTAGTGTCTGTGCACACACACGAGTCCTCAGGCCGCTCCTACATCTGGTAACTGGCACAAGCCGTATGATGGTCGCGCCAAAGCCAAGCCACAGCCAACTACCACTTTACACATGACACATTAACAAGGCATTTCAACCACTTTGTGTTTTCTAGAGGATCGTCAATATGACACAACAGATGCTTATACAATTCTATTTCTTTCATAAAATAAATTATAAATATAGTCCGGCCTCGCTCTTAAGAATAGTTACTAAACTGAATTCAAAAATACTATTTTAATTCGACGATTGTACAACAAATTCCAAGGCTTAATTCGGGCTGCCTACACGTGACGTAACAGGGGTTTTGCCATCTTTACTTCAGATCCTTTCTGTCTTACCGAAACGTAATGTCATCATATTCAAACAATGGGCAGAACAAATTAGTTCAAAGGAATTCGGTCCTGGGATTTATTGTACGATCATCTACACACCAACTGCTAATACATTAATTTAAGATACGGCGAAAAACAACCACTTATGAAAGAATAATTATTTCTTTATTTAATTGCGTTTATTCAACTGCACTGTTAAAGGCTAAACTGCCTCGAATGTCTGGATGATTCGCGAAAGAAAAACCAGAAAGGATGCAGAAGGAAGCGGTCGTGGCATACTTAAAGGTACTATCCAGGCATTTTCCTGTATTAAATTAAGAAAACCTGAGGTTTCACGTCCACTTTCGAACTCGGGCCTCCAAAATGCAAAATAAAACTACTAACCGCTCAGCCACAAACTTCCACATGTATCAGAATAAAACACCTAAGCAAATCTCGTAATTAAGCCGAGAGCTAAAACGGCTCAGCGACATCTCGCAGAAGGGCGACAGACGGTGCACCGTGGACTTCGCCCGTTGCGCTGTTCAAATATCCGCGTTTTCTGCTGTCTCGCTCCTTTTCGCTTTGCTACGGACACGTCCCCGTCCATTGCAGGGAAAGAAGTTGAACACGGTTGACCGCCGAAGAGAACGAGGGTATTACGTCACAGACTGCCACGTGTGCGCCCTCTGGAATCCTAATTTAAACTCGCGGCGTAATGAAGCGAGCAATCCGTACGACACACGACAACAGCCAAATGGCTTCATGGAGAATGTAATCACATTAGGCAGATCGTGAAAACACGTCAGTGCAAGGCGTCGCAGCTGACAACAACGTTACGGCATAAAAAATTCCCACTTCGGTGCCAGGACCCTTCTTTTATCAGGTCATCCTGCTCTCCTTTTTAATTCGCAGTTACACTCAACGAACGTGCGAATGATAATCTGACGAGATCTTTGAAATCACAGCACAAAATTTACGCAATGCCACACTGAGGAACCCTTTTAAGCAATGCTCACAATTTTTCTTTCCGGGATCTGAGATTACTATTAAGAAAAACACGCGACACTGTGGCATGTTTCGAAAGGTCGTCTGTTTTTAAGACGAGTCCCATATTTCGCCTGCGAGTTTTGAAGAAAAACACGGTAGGAATGCGAAAAGATACAATAAATTAATACTTCTGCAAAGGATGTGTGCAGCTTGGGAGAAAGTTGGGCATGCCTGCCTTAATTCATGCAAAGCCAATAGCCCTTCGCACTCTTAGTTATAACATACGATTTACCGATTACTTCCTCATTAAAAAATGTACAAGACAGCTTAGGAATTCTACGATACAGCTAAAGCGTGGTCATCTAGTCTTTTGACGAAATCGAATAATACGTTTCTCATACTCCTCCTGCCACAAGGAAGTCTGTAAGTACAATTATTAAGAATCAACATAATTTATAAAGTAATAGAGGTTTAGTTTATAAAACTGATTATTTATTATAATCTAGAATAACGTATCGTCAAAGTAAAACCACGACAAAAAACAAAGCCGACATGTGACTATTCTCTTATCTAAACGTCAATGTTTATTCTTCTCATGGTATCAAAACTATGCTCTCAGCTACAGTCAAAATATTTCTTTATGTCAATCGATGTTAACGCAGCGTCGGTAATAATTTAACGGATTCTCATTTTTTAGGAAGAAAGCCAATCCAAAATCTAAACCTAAATAATTTGTGCACCATAAAAGTGCTGACAATATATCCGATGTCTCTCGTATCCAACACAAAACTCAACAAGCCGTATGATGAGGGCAACCGAACGCATTGGCTCTTAACATTTTCTGACTTGCGGACCGTACGTCAGTGGGTATATCCGAGGCGGTCCAATCATCTTCCCATATTATCAACACAAATTATAATCTACAAAGACAATAATCACAAACACAAATGTGCTGGAAAAACTACATAATAACTAAGGCCTTAACGTAATATTAAACAGAAAGGATATCATAATCAATCGAATCGATATGCAGCCTAGGGCCAACAAGGAATTGTTAACCGACATCAATTAATCGGCGGGCCAGCGGTTGATAAACATTGGCCAAACGAAAGAATGAACTCGAGCAATTAGTTGCAACATTACAGAACATAGGACATTACTAAACAGAAACACGTGAAAACCTATACGTTTACAATTTTGACGAATATTATTAAAGAATAATTCAGTGATGCCAAAAGCTGACATCCTGATAATTCGCCCTTCATCCAACAGAACTGAGCGACTTCATTGATTTTTGAGTGCGGCACTAAACCGTCGAACAGCAAACAACAAAACACAGAGACCTGAGCTCATGTGCGTAAAGAACAACCTTGGAACACAGACTCTTCGAAACTGTAAGCTCGGAGACAAATACCGAGAAAGATGTCTATACGAAAACTTCAGTTTTCAGAACTAATTTACATTTTCACAACAGAGTCCTTGGGAGTCAACGAATTCCGACAACAGAAAATTACTTACTATTAAAGATAACGTAGCTTTTAAGATAATTATAGATTGTATTAATTAGTTCAACAGGGAAATATTAGCATATAGTTAGATGCACATGAGAGTACAAAATCAGTAAAACATACGTGGGACTGGGGAAGGGCAATTTAGGTTTCTAGTTAAAATAATAAAAGATTGAGCAGTAAGGGAAAGGCGACATTGGAGATAGTTATACAAGGCTGTGTGCCTCAAAAATCCGGTGTCAGACGGACACAGTCTTACGGAACAGAACTCCAATCAATTAATGGATTAATCCCTCGCAAATACGGAAGTATGCATGTATTAATAATAATAACAATGACAACAGGAAAGATTTACTCACGTCTTTACAGAAGGCGCACCCACACAGGAGAATTTCGGCAGTCTTGCTGAAGGGAACTTCGCCTAGGCACAACTTGCAGAGTATGAATTGTTCCGATTGCCTACCACCAGGGCTGCAGGGGACGAATCCGCCCCCAGCCGTGTTGAGAGAATACCTAGACGAAGAGGCCATCGACAGCAGACTGCTGCACCGCGAACACATCCTGCTCATGCAGCCTCCACCAGCATCCGGGAAAAGACCTAAACTTGAATAATGTGGCGGAACACGCAATCTGTTTACCGGTCTTAACGGTTCTACGTGAATCGTAGTCCGTGAGGAGGACGCTGACCTGAGCATGCCAGCACCGAAACTTGACAATGCCAACACTGTCTCACACTTCCTCATGTTTCCACCACCACTAGCACCTTCCTCTCCGCTCGGAACACCACTGATTATCCCACTTCCGCGGAAATCATTCCCGTTTATTCTTATAGAAGGCGCAAGACTGCTGCTGCTACTCGATTCTCGTTTCATCAATGGCACCATCACTGAGGCATTAGCTCCCGTTGCTGCAGACACGATGTCCGCTGCTGACTTCCCGCCCGATCCCCCGCTGCCCGCAGTCAGGATGGAACTACTGGAGCTACCGCCCATTTCGGGAACAAGCAGAGTCCTGTCCTTACACCCACTGACCCCTGCCGATGATGCTGTAGCCGTAGCACGGGTTGAAGAGGAGCGCCGGCTCACCAGGGACTTGAGGCTCGGCATTAGCAGCAGATCGATCGGACTACGACGATGACTCGTTTTAGTAGAGGTGGGGACAGCATCAGCTGTTTGAGACTGGTGTTTCCAGGGCGTGGCGATGACAAGAGATGTGGCGCGGCGTATCGTACTGCGCAAGGCAGACGGAAACAATTGAGGCTGCACTTTCTGATGAGCGGGAAGCTGTTTGTCAGGCAATAACACGACTCTATCCTGGTGGAACTCTGTTTCTTTACCCTCTACTAATGTACCATAGCCGTAACCACTCGTCCAGGATTTACACACACGCTCTCGTCGGCAACGGAAGTCGTATTTGTGTTTCCTGATTTCACTTCCTGTTTCACTACAGAGTAACGCAGACGTGACATTGGCAGGGGCGCAAGGCTGGCTGTGCTCGCTGCGATTTGCCGTGACCGTGAAGGAAAACCTGCGCAACGATGTCTGAAGATTACTCAAATCCTCATTGCCACTGCAATTAATCAGGTGCTCCCGAACCTGGGTCTTGCACTTAGAGCTACTGCCGCTCTTGTTCACCGTGCCGAGGTTTCGTGTCATGGCCCTGAGAGGTCAGGTGGCAACTGAAGACGAATGGTGCAGTACTCCGTGCCCTGTTCACGGGCACATTTCGATGGAACCCCTGTAACAACAAATAACGTTATTTAACACATACCGCAAAGATCCTTTTAACTGCGACCTGTAAAAATTACAAGCTATAAAAAACTCAACGACTTCTCGTTATGGCTATACGTAAGAATTCCATGCAGCAAAATCCTTCCTGAGAAGCTGATCGTCACACAGCTAGTCAAGAAATGCACCCTGTTGAGGTGGTCCTCAAACACCAAATGTAGCATGTTACGACATGTGACCACAGAGACACAAAATGAACAACTTAAAATGGAACCCAACTACAGTCACGTGTAAAATACTAACATTCCTCGCGTTACTCGAGTCGAGATCACCCCAGTTGCTAGGCCGCTGCTCATGCCAGCTGAGCACATGCGAACACATATTCACGAGCAGAATGTGCCTTCATTTTGTAAGAAAGGAGTGGTTGAGTATGGGAGGTTAAAACTGGCACGAGGAAACTGACCCACTGTTCGCATGTGTCGAGGCAGAATTACAAAGTAGAGACTGCGTTAAGCCGTCTATTGTTATATATTGGCGAGGACAAACACACGAGGCGCTGATCACACGGCTAAAATCCGGTTCTTGAGCAATGCGCCAGTAAAATGAACAAGCTTTTCACTCATGGGACAGAGAACGGCTTGTGCACTGACATTTCAACAGCAGAACCTTGCACACATGCGCTGTATTTTCTCAAGACTTTCTCTCATTTGACATTATAGAGTGTCTGATTTATGACACTGCTGTTTCTCGCTCTACAAACAACCTAGAATAACACTGCTTCACTACATTAAACTGCCTTCCTTTAGATATAAAAATATTTTATGTGTGCCAACAAGTCTAGCTACAAGTCTTATTAATAATGCCTGACATTACATTTCACTAAATTGATGGAAATAAAACGAACAATTTACAAAGGGCTTGGCTAGTCTAAGACGCGTAGATTTTAATAGCAAGAAATACTTGGATTATGTGTTCTAATCCCGTTCGGGGCATAAAAACATCCGTATTTTATTCCTTTGGTTGTCCAGAGGCTACTGTTTACGTGCAACCGCCATGATGGGCCGATTGCCAGCCCAAATAAGTTATTTTATCGAATATCGAAAAATACTGAAAGCCTTAGAAATTAATTTCGAATCGTAACAAGCCAGACGTACAATCCATTATAGCCATACAAAAGGAAGAAGCAAGTTACAGGATTTGATATTTTCATAGCAACACGAGTTCAATGTTCTAGCGGTCGTGTAACAACGTTTTGAATAATCATGCTGCCTGTTATCTTTATGGTTGATGTGAGGAGGGCTGAGAACTTGACTTATGCAGCGGCAAGTCGAAAATCACGCCTGGAGAATTTGTCAATCAGAGCCATGGGAAGAGGAGATGAACCAGATACCATCCCGAGATGAGCGAGGAAACAAAAAAATGTCAGGAGATGACTAATCGCCCTGATAATGGAGGCAGCAAGGACCTGTGAAACGTCGGTAAACTTCTACCAGACTACACGGCGCAACAACCCAGAAGACAGCCATCTTCAGACTCACCGCCGTGAAAACCTGAGATCGCGCAATGGAAGAATTATTGATTATAATTTTAATGACGATCTTCAATTGCAAATTTGTATCTCAGTTACGTCCTAACCAAAATCTGCAAGCTCGCCAGTGGGACAATATAGCATACATACACAGAACTTTCGAAAAGTAACTCTGAAGGTTCAGTCAGAATTCAAAACAGAATCACCTTGAATTATAATTCAGTAAAAATGTAAACGTTAATAACTGCTATATTCTACGACGTTGCTTGGATTACGTGGTCGACATCCAATGTCGACAGCGTAATCTTTGAAGTCCCCTTGGCAAGTGGGATGGCCAGTTACACTTGAACAGCTCCCATCTTACGGTTCACATGAACCGTTAAGAGAATCTGAGATAAAATATCAGTTCTTTTACCCAGCGCACGTTTGCACATTTTCATATCTGCACACATTATCGTAACTTACGCCTGTATTCATGACATCCAATTCTGTAAGACAACCATTACTTTGAAAGAAACGCATAAGACGTTCATAAAAATAAGAAGGCCTTCAGATATTGAGGGTAGCTGCCGTCATAGTTATAACTAGCAGTGGAAAGTCGACAAGAGGTCCTACTGCTAGGGAATTCGGTGAGGAGCTAACAACTCCTCGTCCTAAAAGAACAGCATGCTACAAAATGTTACATTGGGTCTCTGATCTGCCGGAGAGGCTATTAGCTTCTTAAATGTACTCTGCTCTATGGAGACAGTTAATATATTGCTATGACCACAAACAATTATGAAGATTAGTCAGTATGTACATATGCGTATGTAATCAGCTGACGATCTCTGGTTCAGTGACCGCTTCAGAGGAGAATAATTAAACAAACTTCCTGCAGGTAGGCACATAAACAAATGCCATACGTTGAATAGATCCGCACACGGGCACTGCAGAGGACACTGTACTGTGACAAACGACGTCCTTTGCAGTCTTACATTACTGTAGGTAACTACCAACCTAATCGAGAGAAAAGTAGCTCACTCCCCTACAGACAATCAGGTAAGCCATTCGCCATGCTGTGAAAACAGATGGTAGAGTGATATGGAATTAGAAATGGATAGTAATACAGAAAACATTACGAGTTTACGAGGTAAATAGTCGAAATAAATATTTCAAACGGGCAGTAGAAATTTATGTAAAAAGCTACATGACTTGAAAAGAATAATTTTAATTTTGACAGCTGGACAAAACCAATGTCACAAAATTTTTAAAATAGTATAACTTATTTACATTATTCAGGTAAAAGAAAACATTACCTATATCGGCTAATAAAAGATGTAATGATCTGGACCTTCATTCAATTTCAGATAGTACCATGAATATAAATTAGCATTAGATAATTTATACTGGTCCTGAACAGCGCTGCAAACCGAATACTGGTAGTCTTTTATTTAAATTACGCTTGTAAAATTATAAAAAAAATTTGAAGTCACAAGGTAGCCGTCTTCAGGGTCGTATCGTTGTGTAGGCTGGTAGCAGTTTACCGACGTTTCAGAGGTCCTTGCTGCCTCCATCCCCATCGACCTGACGATCAGACGTTGGTAAGCTTCTACCAGACTACACGGCGTAACAACCCAGATGACAGCCATCCTTGTACTCACCGCCGTGAAAACCTCAAATCCTACTTCTAATTTCTTGTTTTAATAGAAATGTTTCTCAATTTCAGCATCTCCCTTTGTTCTCCTTCCTTAAGACATTTTGACATATTGTTTTCTAAGTTCTGATGTCATTACAGCCAGTCAAAATACTGTCTACGAGACTGCAGGTGAAAGAATTACAGAATAATTTCTCTAGAAAAAGCGCTCAACCTATTCTGTCTGATTCATCTTCAACCAGATTACTTGTTATTAAGTATGGCTTGGACAGGGCGCAAAATGTTACTGACGGAAGAATCCAATCTTACGGAGCTTGTAATGCCTGAATTAGAAAATATTACAGTACTTACCATTCTGGATAATGTGCCTGAGGCAATGAGATTATCGGGATCACATGTAGTGGTTGATCCTGTGAACAAATTAAACATGTGTTAACAAATTCCCAACGAATCAATGAAGACAAACGCCAGAACAATCTACACGAGACGAAGTCCTTCGCAATTTGACCCAACAGCCTGTGTGTGTCCTACCTTACACGAGAATTATCGGCGTTCAACAACACAGAACACAATGAGGATAGAAAACATCATTCTTCCTTATCAGTACCTTATCTTCACTGTTAGAAGAGTAATCTTATTATACGCTATTAGACCTACTACCCACATAACTCCCAGCTTACAGAAGTTCCTCATTTTTTAATCACGCACTCTGATAGTGACTACGCAGCACAGATCACGTCGTTTGAGCACCAACGGATACGACGTGCCACCATTTTTCTTCGTCTTCATGTTTAAAACATAGTAAAACCCATAATATTGATTCATCTGCTGTATAGCCCACATGTGGCTTGCAGAATTGGCGAGTTATTTTATTTTAAAATCGATCATCTTCTAGAGCTCTAGTCGGTGGTACTGAGTTTCACACTTTGCCTACTCGTCTACCCCGAAGGAGGAAGAAAGTTTTCTGCAGTACAGAGCGTCAGATCCTCCACAAGACCGCAACCCAATCTGTGCCGTGTTTTGCAAGGCTTCCATATACTACGTGACTCGGGCGGGATTCCAATTCGTTACAGCAGACTCTGAGCAGTCCATGTGGGCAGTAATCAATATCAGGGAATTAGAATCCTACGTGTTTAAACTTATGACTGTACGTTACCATGCCTGCAGAACCGTTCGAGTACATTGTCGTTCTGTCCTGTTGTCAGTTTGAATTATTTATGTGAGGAGATGACTGTCTTCTGGGATATTGCGCCGTGCAGTCTAGTAGTACTGACCGGTGTTTCAGTAGTGCTTACTGCCTCCATCATCAGGACCGAATGGTAAAGGCACTAAGCACCTCTGA